AAACCAAAAATAATCGATTTCAAAATTCAACAGAAGGGGCAGAATGAGTTCGTGTGCAATTTCCCAAATTGACTCCCCCCCTGCCGCTCTCTCTCGCTCATTGAGAAAATTATGGGGCAAAACGGGTTTGTTTATCGTTTTCCGACTTGCTCATTCAGAAAATAAATAACAAATGGGGCGAAATGGGTCTGTGAGCTATTTCCCGCTTGACTCCCCCCCCCCCTCCCCCCGCCACCCGCAATAATGTATTGCGAAATTCGCCAAATGGGACAAAATGGGTTGGTGCTAATATTCCAAATCAACCCCCCTTCCCCCCGAACCTATCTAATATTCATAAGTGAAATAGAATAAAAAATGTCTGCGACTGCTGACAGTTTCCCGCCGACTCGATAATTTAACACTGGCGCCATCTCGCGGCATTCTCCCATCTGAACTTCTTTACCACACAGCACACCATCAATAATTTCTCCTAATTATACAAAATAACCTATTAATGGGTATTAATTGGGACTAATTGTTTGTCTATCAGCATTTAAAAAAATTTTTGATTATATTCCAATCATTTTTGGCCCATTTTTCGCCTTAAAATGATATCCATGCACATCCATGCTACAACATGGATGTACCATGGAACCTCAATCGCCAGGGATGCAGAGTGCGTATACTCGAATATGACTGATGATCAGTAAATGTATTGGATTAGATAAAACGATCAAAAACAAAAAAACACACACGACTTTCCTCACCGATAAATATATAGAAGTGTCGCAAAAATGTGTTTACATTTTTCACCCAAGCCAGCTGGACAAGTACATTTGCTAATTATTTTCCTCTTATTTTCCTCAAACAGAATTTTTATAGTTATTTCGTGGTAATTATTCCAATGTGACGATTGACGACAAGCTGATACAATTTCTACGTAATTCTGTTTATAACTTTTGACAGCCCAGATGAGGATGTGTTCAGCTAATAATACCTCCTCTCCTGCTTGAATTGGTCTCCTGGTATCTCCTAGTAAGTCTCCAATATCACAAAATGTCAAATTGAACTTTGGATTGATATTCATATTTACTAAAGTCCAATAATGATAGGGCAATGGGAGGCAAAGATCTTAATTTCGTATAACCATACATTCCGGCGCCCAACCACCTGGTAGGCTCCGCCATAGGCTAGTTATAGAAACCCTCAGTAGAGGGCGAAAAATCGCTTTTGGCATCGCCAATTGGACGAACCGACCCTTGGCAATTGGTAACGTCGAAGAAAATTCCAGGGCTTTTCCATCACATTAGTATTTATCTACAGACTTTGTATTCCTACATTTGGAGATTCATTTTGGTTATTTAAAAAATTTAACTTTCTGTTATTTTTTCAGATAGAATACACGACTATTGAAAACATTCTTTAACCTCAAAACATTGAGAAATAAAAATGGTACTAGGAAAAAGAACTCTGGAACTTGCAGCAAAATGGTAAGGATCTCTATATAGCTATTTGAGTTGTACAATCAATTTTTAAGAATAACATGCAGTGAAAATAATTTTCAAGTAATTTTGAAATAGTCCGCAAATTTGGTTCATTATGTAACTATCTAGTATGAATGGGTCTGCTTCAATATTAGTCTTTCTTAAATTTGTTGAATAAATTCTTACAGGATACCATCAGCAACCCTCTACGGAGGAGTTGGCAGCCTAGCTTTCCTGTACTTCAGCGACTGGAGACTCATTGTAGATCTCATTCCAATCTATAATGGAAAATTCAAAGATACGAAGTAATAAAATATGTAAAGTCAACCAAAATTATTAGACACTCCTAAAATATGAATTATAGTTGAACTCTCAATCGTTGATACTTTTTATTTATTCACAACCTACATGGAGGGAAATATGTACAGCTAATCAAATTTCCCCATTGTCTCCTGTTCTTCTCGCAACTTGTTTTCATAAATAATATTCGCATATTCTTCACTAATCCGCATCTTGTAGCGACGCCGCCTCGGTTTGTAAACAAAACTGAAAATGCAACAATACAAGAAATTGTTTACTTCATCTGTTGGTATATGGGACATTCCGTATAAACTCAGCCACTCCAAATTTTTAGATTCAATGTGGCCTAAAATTTCCGAGTATAGAATTTTTCAATAGTGTGGATATGTATATGTATGGTCTCCTTGGGCTGTTTTTTTAAAGAATTTTATTGTGGGGAATCTTTTTTTTTAATCGTTATTTTACATGGCTTCGAACCGGTTAGGGTATACTGCGATGATGATCAAGACTTTACATGGTTAGATCGCACCATTCTACCCGGCCGAAATTTGAACTCGGAACCTTTCGCATGTGGGGAATCTATTGAATTTTATGGATTGAACTCCGAAACGGGACGGTGCTAGCAAGTAGCTGAGGCGTTAATCGTATTTTTTGCTGAAATTTGGATGTCTACTCAACATGTATAAAATTTAATTTTTTTGCTATTGAATTTATTGAATTTTTTTCAAACACATGGAAAAAATTCGATAGGAACGCCTAGTTGTTTTTTCCAAGAAATTCTATGGAATTTCTATCAAAACTCTATAAGAATTCTATTGAACAATTCTATTGATTTTTATGTCCCTATTTCACAACAAGGTATACTAAATTGACATGTTTTTTCAAGACTTTTTTTTCTATAAAAAAATATATACATGTTCATTTTTCTATATGACATATGTCGTGGAAACGCGTTCTATAAGAGTTCTCAGAAATCAAGTTTTTTCTCATGGATTTTATTAAGAGAAACAAATAAAAAAACTCAGAAGTTTAGAGAAAACTAGAGCCATTATTGATTGGCCTACTCCAACTTCGAAGATTGCTTTGTGGAGTTTTTTGGGGTTATGCTCTTATTATAGGAAATATATAGAAATATTCGCTCTTATTTCAAAACCTCTTTACCATTTGACTGAAATCATGAATTCTTTGAACAATGCCAAGCGGCATTCACAAAATTTGAATCAACCTAGGCATCTCCACTAATTCTTATTCTACCTGCTCCAAATCTCCATTTTATCCTATACCGACGCATTTCTTTTTCTCCGATTGTTCTGGCACTGATAAAATGTCTTGCGGCCGGAAAAATAAAACCGACGCATTTAAATTTACTCTCAATGAAAGGAATTACTGCGTCTCTCGAAAAAAATTGTTGGATGTTATCTTTTGGTCGGAAAGTTTCTAACCAGGACTGATCATGTTAGTCCATACGCAATACCCCCTTCCCGTGGTCACTAGGAGGTCGATGGAATTTTATCATTGGATTTTATGTTTTTGGGGGTGAGGAATCCGAATATGTTGTTTATTTTGTCCTCCCGTTGCGCAATCATTTGTTATAAACAAATTAGTCCCCATTTTTAGTGAATAAATGTTCTTCCGGGAAAACAAAGAGAGATACAGAAAAAGTGTTCCAACGAAAGTTATTCCTCTTTCTTTCACCAATAAAATGATTTTTGATTCGTCGAAATCGGTCCAATACTTCCCGAGATACAGGCTAAAGAGTGAGCGCGGGTGGATAGACTGCGCGGACGACGGGTGAGTATGAGCGCGGAGCAGAGTATCTGAGTGAATATCGTTGGTTTGTACATTCTGTATTGCATTAAATTACTGCAGAAAGGAATAATATCTGTAATCTGTCGATTATTTCTATTTTCTCTCATACTCTTCATGTCGGGTAAGGGACAAAACGCGTTCCATACTTCGAGAGGACAACGTAAAAATGACGCCAGCAACTTATAATGATAATGTATAATTCCTGTTATCGGATGAATAGAAGACCCCTTCATATTGAAGATGAAGATATCTGAAAAGAGAAAATGATAAATAATGAGTCAATTACATGAAAATTCATTAATTTATCCTCCACCTTTATTCATAGGATTTTGGCATTTTTTAGATGAAGTGCAGTTATAATACACGATTTACACATTGTTGGACAACATGTTGCAAACACAAACGATATTCGTTTAGATACACTGCTCCGCGCCCAAACTCACCCGTCGTCCGCGTAGTCTATCCACCCGCACTCACTCTTTAGCCTGTAATCTCGGAAAGTATTGGATCGATTTCGACGAGTCAAAAATCATTTTATTGGTGAGATAAAGAGGAATAACTTTTGTTTTAACAATTTTTCTGTATCTCCCTTTGTTTTCCCAGAAGAACATTTATTCACTAAAAATGGGGACTAATTTGTTTATAACAAATGATTGCGCGACGGGAGGACAAAATAAATAATATATTCGGATTCCTCACCCCCAAAAACATGAAATCCAATGATAAAATTCCATCGAACTCTTAGTGACCACGGGAAGGGGGTATTGTGGATGGACTATGTCGCGCTGAAATGGTTACTAACTTTCAAGAACCCAGAAAATCAAATGGCTAGATGATTGGAATCATTATTCTTTTTCGATTTCGAGCTCTGGCTTCGTTAGCCCCGTGAAGTTAGCAGACCAGGGTCATCAGATCGGTTCGGCAAATATCTCAAAAATACGAGTTTTTTATGTGCTTTTTTTCTGCAGAAATATTAAATTTTCTCCTTTAAATATTTTGGCCAAAAAAATTGATTTTTGAGTTTGGCCTGTTAAGCTAGCAGACCAATGGGATCAAATCGGCACAATTCGTGCATAATGGCAAAAAATTAAATACGAGCTAATTTTCTGCAAGAAAATAATTTCATTTTTCCGGAATTTTCCCCGAATTTTCAAGGACTTCAAATGGGGGTCAAATGAGGGTAGGGGCAAAGTGGGTTGCTCTGACCCTAGCATCGCTCAACATGTTCGAGGAAATGTGCTTTTATTTGACGTCCATTCCAAATTTTCTGCTTAAATATTTTGGCCAAAAAATGGGTTTTTGAGTTTGGGGTGTTAAGCTAGCAGACCAATGGGCTCGAATCGAGATAATTCGTGCACAATGGCAAAGAATTAAATGCGGGCTCATTTTCTGCAAGAAAATAATTTAATTTGTCCGGAATTTTCCCCGATTTTTCAAGTACCTCAAATGGGGGTCAAATAAGGGTAGAGGCAAATCGGGTTGCTCTAACCCTAGCATCGCTCGACATGTTCAGGGAAATATGTGCTTTTATTTAAGGTCCATTCAAAATGTCCCCACCCTCATTTGGCCCCCATTTGAGGTCCTTGAAAATTCAGGGAAAATTCCGGAAAAATGAAATTATTCTCTTGCAGAAAATTAGACCGTATTTAATTCTTTGCCATTGTGCACGAGTTATCCTGATTCGACCCCATTGGTCTGTTAGCTAAACACCCCAAACTCAAAAATCTTTTTTTTTGGTCAAAATTATTTAAGCAGAAAATTTTGAATGGACGTCAAATAGGAGCATATATTTCCCCGAACCTGTCTAGCGATGCTAGGGCCCGAGGAAATTGTTTTGTCCCTACCCTCATTTGATGTCCTTGAAAATTCGGAAAAATTCCGGAAAAATGAAATTATTTTCTTACAGAAAATTAGCCCGTATTTAATTCTTCGCCATAGTGCACGAATTATCCCGATTCGACCCCATTGGTCTGCTAGATTAACACTTCAAACTCAAAAATCGATTTTTTTGGCCAAAATATTTAAGCAGACAATTTTGAATGGACGTTAAATAAAAGCACATATTTCCCCAAATATGTCCAGCGATGCTACGGTCAGAGCAACCCGCTTTGCCCCTACCCTTATTTGACCCCCATTGAGGTCCTTGAAAATTCGGGAAAATTCTGGAAAAATAAAATTATTTTCTTGCAGAAAATTAGCCCGTATTTAATTCTTTGCCATTGTGCACGAATTATCCCGATTCGACCCCACTGGTCTGCTAGCTTAACACCCCAAAGTCAAAAATCGATTTTTTGGCCAAAATATTTAAGCAGAAAATTTAATATTCCTGCAGAAAAGAAGCCCATAAAAAGCCCGTATTTTTCTCGTATATTATTTCCCATTTCACATCATCTTCATTTAAGAATAAATAATTATATAACGATTTGTAAATTCTCCACAAAAACACCTTTTAAACGAAGGACTTTAGCTTACGAACTTTTGAATAGTTTTTTTAAATCGTTATTTTACATCGCTTCGACCCGGTTAGGGTATGCCGCGATGATGATTAAGACTTCAAATGGTTAGAGCTCACCATTCTACACGTCCGGGTTTCAAACTCGGAACCTTTCACACGTGAGGCAACAAACTTACCCACTGTGCCATGCCACCGGCTTAACTTTTGAATGGTTGATTAATAATTTGGAGAAAAATGTAACTTAACAATGCTGAAATTTTAGCTTTTGACTCAAACTTCCACGCATATAATAGCACATAACATGCAAGCGTCATTCAAGAAAAATAATCATCTGATGCAGCCTATCTGCAATACGAATCATTATGGTAATAAGAGGAAGTTCCACGCTAAATTTCAAATTAATATATCGTTTTTTTTGAAAAGTTGGAGTGCTTACAGGGATTTTGAGCGAAAAACCGAAAAATAGAAATATCTGGGCAATTTTGTACGAACGGGCATGCATATTTCAATTAATTCAAATAGAAAACGTCGAGACGAATATTTTGAAAAAGACATCGTTGGAATCGGTTGGATATGTTTCGAGATATTTGCGAAGAAACGACTCAATTCAAGGCTGTAGAATAAAAATTGTAAAAATAGTTAGAATAGAGCTATTGTTATCATTCAAATTCGGTTGATATTTGTATAAACTGGTCGATTACACGAGGTGATTTTTGAAAGAAAAATATAAACAATCATGTGTTTTTTCTATTTTTAAGACAACAACATATGGTGTTGATGGTCGAAGGTCGGTTCCTTCACAGAAAAGGTCCACACGGCAGGCCAAATGTTTTTGTAGGTTCAATTTCACGGTATACAGAAATATGGCCATCGTAGAAACACTGGACAAGCTGGGCACCTGTCTCTACGCAAAAATTTGTCAACGTTCATTTACCTTTTGCTTTACATTGAAGTTGTAGAAATTTTTTTTTCCCTTCAAAATGATAGATAGTTTATCAATAATTTGATCCAAACAACATTAATGGGGGGAGCTTAGTAAGCTTTGTATACATGTCTGAAAACCCCACAATTGAGGGAAAGTTCGTATTTTTATTTTAAAAACCAATCATTGTTTTGATGAAAAAAAAATTGTTCTATTGTCTTTCTTACTGCCGCTAAGTTTACGCAGCTGGTACCGCCAAGTTGAGCGTTTTAGTCTTAAAAAAAAATTACATTTGATCTTCACAAGGCGTGTTACATCCCGTAAGAAATTGAATTACCTTGCACTGATTTAAAGATTCACGTTGAAAATTTGAAATTCACATGGATTCGTTCTTCTTTTCTCATTATATTCCGAAATTAGAATTTAAAAATCTGTTTTAGTTCTCCCATGGGTCCGTCTAATGGACAGTTCAGTAGTAATTTTCAATAGAAAGTCGTAAAATTTCAAATTTCACTGAAAATTTAACGAAATTCAACACTTTTAACCAGCATATGAAGCGGAGGACTTTTCCAGTTACTTGAATTCTCATTTAAACGATGAATATTCTGTACCAAATGGCTTTGTATTTACGATTGATAAACTAATTATAATTGCCGAAATCATTTAGGTCAGAGGGAAATAGAATGATTCAAATTCTTCAATGTTGCGTTCACTGGGGTTTCCTTCAAACAAAGTTAATTAGAATCAATAGTTAGAATTATGAGAGATTCTGACATTCTTGACGTTAAGCAGAGAAGAATCTGAATGGAACATAGTGAAAATGATAATCGATTGTTTCACTTTGAACAAATAATGACAATATTTAAATTAAAAATTTCTGATATGATTAAACAAAAAAAGCTTTGATTCAATATTCCATAACTGCAAATAATAAAGATGATTATATAATATCATCTGAATCATTAACGTGAATTTCAGATTCTCAAAAAAGGATAGAGCAGAAGTCAAAGAGCCATTTCAAATTTTTATTTTTAATTTGGTGCTGGAGACATTGGGTGATGATATTCTAAACGCGGAATTACATTGATGATATGAACAACAGATTAATCGAATTAACGAGTGAACTAATTATAAAAATTTATAGCAGTGTTGACCAGAAATCTCTGGCTTACGTTCGAGAAAAAAGTGGATTGTAATTACGATCGACCTTTTATTCCGTCAGCATAGCAATTATAGCACATGAGCAAGTCATTTATTGGAATATGAAAAATTAACAGCGAATAAATTGGGATATATTATTTCCATCAGTTGCATTGCTTTTTGCCATTAGAATGATTATGAACAATGAACTGAAAAAAAGAATATTGAATGACAGGAAAAAGGCCCTAATGAAAGGGGCATCAACACCCCGGCCGCTAGTGTATGTTATAAATGATAAGTGAACAAGTCCAGTCGTCTATTTTTTGTTTAGTTTAAATTTTTCAATTTTTTTTAAATTCAAATTTTCAACGATTATTGCAGCTAACGAAAAATATTCAATATATTTTCTTCAATTAATCAAAAACCCTCTATCAAGGGTCAAAAAAATTGGTTTTTTCTCCAGTGTAATGAGAAAAATGTAGCGAAGCTAGTTATATATTTATTTAAGATTATTTCAATGTATTGTGTTCGGGCTTGGCTTAGCAACCGAATACCTTACCACAACACCTCGCGACGATTCGTAATAATTCGGACATCCTCGATCGGATGATTAATACCGTTGTCGCGAGGCACACTCTCGTTCCAGCTCTCATGGTGTAAACCTAGTTACGTTTGCTGTCAATAAATCTAATTCGATGTATATGAGGTATTCCACGTCAAATGAGTCAATCGCTGACCCTCACCCTCTTGGACATTAATGGCGATTTTTTGTACGATCGGGGAGGTTGAAAAACTATCTCTCAATTTTTTTTAGATTTTTTCGGCAGCCCAGTTCGGAGATGTGATTTTTTTCACATTTTTCCGTTTTTTCCATTAACTCGAGTTCTATTCGCGACCGCAACGTAGATGTGGGAGCCATCAAGTGGTCTCTCCACTAACTACTCTTGGCGGGCACCCAATGAGATTAAAGAGAATCCAGTGATCTCATTGTTTGAGCTCCATCATTGGTTCCCTCCGAGAGATCTCATTGGTTGCCCCCCAAGAGTAGTTAGTTCAGAGACCACTTGGTGGCTCCCACATCTACGTTGCGATCGCGAATTTGTCCGATTTTCATTTATTAAGCGTCAAAATTTTCCATTTTTTACCGCCTATACGACTGTTTTTAGTGATTTTTCTTTTTCGATTCCTAGAAGCTCATAATAACGAATTTTCGAAAAAAAAGTTGAAAAACTTGAATTTTGCAAATTACGGCACGGTTGATATTCAAATTTTTTTTTCAGCAATTTTCATAATCAAAACAAGTATTTTGAGCTGTCATTCAAGTTGGGCATCCTCCTGGATCTATATTATTTTTAATTTTTTCTTTTGGAAATTTCGCAAATTTAGTCAAAACACCACAAAAGGACTTCGATTATGTATCGAAAAAATATGAAATATAGAGGTATGCAATCAAATTCACTTCATACTGTCTATAATCAGAGTCAATCAACGCCATTTTGAGGTGTTGCGACCAAATTTACGGAATTTCGAAACGAAAAAATTGAAAATAAAACAGATCCAGGACGATGCCCAACTTGTATGATGGCTAAAAATACTTGCTTTGATTATAAGAATTACTGAAAAAAAAATGAAACATCATCCGTGACGTAATTAGCAAAATTCAAGTGTTTCAATTTTTTTATTCGAAAAGTCGTTATTATGCGCATCTAGAGATCGAAAAAAAAATTCACTTAAAATATTCTTATAGGTAGTAAAAAATGAAAAATTTGGACGCTTAATAAATCAAAATCGGATGGATAGAACTCGAATTATTGAAAAAAACCTGAAAAACGGAATAAAAAACATATCTCCGAACTGGGCTGCCGAAAAAATCTGATAAAATTTGAGATATAGTTTTTCAACCTCCCCAATCGTGGAAAAAATCGCCATCAATTTCCAAGAGCCGAGTGTTATGCGTTACAAACCCATCACATAATCCATTTCACATAATCGATGGTTTTGAAAAACATCAATTCTTCGATAATCGAGGTTTTTTAGAACATCGCCCATCCTTATTCAAAAACACTTATACTAGCACTCACCCGTAGAAACCCCCGGCTGTTATGATTCCTAGAATTACCCATAGCCCCTTTGGGAGTTTCGAAAATTCGAATGGTAATTTTGGAAATTTCAATAACGTTGCTAATTTCCACTGTGATTCAATTTTCTTGTTGCTGTTGACCAGTGGAAATAAATATAATAGAAATAATAAAACTATAAGTTAAAAAGGCACGACAGTTGCTATTGTTACCTCATTCTTTTCTATTTTCAATCTTTCCTCCTGTTTGTTGATATTATCCTTTATTGTTGGAATCCAAATATAAAGCCCACTCAAACTACCAAATATTGTCGCAAGAACGATTTGAGTCTTCGTGAGTTGAGTATTTTTTCGAAATTTCATATCTGATCAATGATGCCAGATACAAGTCCCCCCAAAAAGGATAGACTTAAAGTACAGTAGGACTGGCGAGATTGTTCTATCGGGAATTGTAGGTTATGCCAAAGAGGATAGACTAAAGTAGAGGCTCAGATCTGGGGGTTTGGCCGACCACAGCGTGAGGCTAGTACGACCCCATGGCAGAGAGGGCACCGCGGTCGATTTCGGTGTGTCTTAAGGTATGATAGAGGGCGCGTTTCGCAATCGACGTAGTAGCAGTAGCAGTACTGCAACCCACCCATCCAAAGTTAGCCACTCATTACCATTATTATTGATTTTTGACGAATGCAATCGATAGTTCGTCAATTACAGACATTAAGGGAGGAAAGAGGGTTAATTGATGGGGAATTTAATTGTCCGTCGAACTGCTCTTTTTTCATCCCTTAATCTCAATTAGGAGGCGAGAGGTGAATTTTTAATTACCGGGAGTCACTGTGCGCCGCTAAACAATTATTTTTCTTACTGCGCTGTGATTTTCATGACAGAGGGTTAAATGATGGGTAATTTAGTTCTCCGTCAAACAGCCTTTTTTTCATC